GAAGCGATTAATTGAAACACTAGTAAGCTCTTTTTAATAATAATAAATCTAATTTATATAAGTAAAATAATAGTAAATAAAAACAAAATGCTATTTAGTAATCAATTAATCGTTATCTGGAGGAACTGACTGAAAAATCAGTCAAATGCTTTCATTGCATTTTTTTATTGACTAAAAGTCATATTAAATGTTTACCTAAATAAAGCTGGGCCGGTCTAAGGCAACATGTTTTTCTTCTCATAGAAATGAATTATTTGTTTATTTGCATCTTCTATTTTTTCCTTTAGAAAACAGAAAGTCGTTAAATGAAAAAATCAATTAATCATCAGAACCATTGAGTTTCAGCTCTGGTTTTAAATTTTCTCCAAAATAAATAACTTTATAGTATTAATGTGTGCAGTGAGAGCTGGATGAACGCATGAATGGATCAGCAGCCATGTTGGCTTTATTAATCCTGCAGCAACGAGGAATCTCTGGAACGCTGCAGACAAAAAGTCACCATAAATACTTCAGTCTCTGCCCTCACTGAGCAGACGGGACCGGTTCTGTTCCAACCCGACCCAAACGTCCCCGGACTCCTTCCACAAACCCACCGGCCCGGTTCGCTCACTGCGACGAGTCGGTCAGTCCGGAGGTCAGAAGGTCAGACCTGCTGGTTGAGTCCAGGAAACCAGGAAGGTTTGACCACAGCTGGAGCATCCATCTGTTCATCCATTCATCTGTTCATCCATTCATCTATTCATCCATCCATCTGTTCATCCATTCATCTATTCATCCATCCATCTGTTCATCCATTCATCTATTCATCCATCCATCTGTTCATCCATTCATCTATTCATCCATCCATCTGTTCATCCATTCATCTATTCATCCATCCATCTGTTCATCCATTCATCTATTCATCCATCCATCTGTTCATCCATTCATCTATTCATCCATCCATCTGTTCATCCATTCATCTATTCATCCATCCATCTGTTCATTCATTCATCTGTTCATCCATTCATCCGTTTCCAAGACAACTAAAAATGAACTTTAATAGAAATTCATCAAATCAATCAAAGGTCAGATTATCTGATCGACTCGTCAATATCAAGTTTATTTAATATTATTGATTAAAAGCATCAACACTGATTATTGATCTGCATTGATCTCATCGTTTCCCAATAATCAAAATGAGTTCAGTGATTTTCTGTCTGTCGGTTTTTATCGTTATTTTTATTGATGTTTTCAGTCGTTTGTTGTTTTCATTTCTAGTTTCATTTTTTAAACTTTGTTTCCGTTCACAGCAGAAAGTTTTCGTCCTTCAGAGGGAATTTTTTCCATTATCTGTAGAAAATGGTGTCAAAACGACAATATTATCATTTATGTCAATAAATGCTAATATTTTCGTGCGTCATCCAAAAGGTTTTAGTTGTGCTGAGGATGTTTAAGCTCTTCGCTTTGTCCCAAAACCTGTTAATTATTTCCTCATGTGGAAAAAACGGACCTGTTTCTTTCATGTTAGTGTTTTAGGTGATTCCTGCCTGCAGACTTTAAAGTTTCACGTTTTGACAGTGAAAGGAAGTTGGAAAGTTCTGAGCTGCTCATTGTTTTACTTCCTGTCAGTGTTTCCTCTGTTTTGGTTTAAAACTGAGTCCTTCAGGGGTTAAAGTGACAAAAGCTCCATTATTCCCATTTATTTTATTGCGTTCTGAGAAAAATGGTGGGAATGACCAAGTTTGGGATTGACCGCCAAGAAGATCAACTGGAAGGAAAAACACAGAAATAAAGATGAAAACTTTCCTCTGAAGGACGAGTTGCTTCACTGCCTGCAGCGTCTTTAACTGGCTCCAGGTTATAAATGTCAACGTGTTTCTACGCTAAAAGCAGAACATTTAGAAACTACACTGAACTAAAATATAAACCCCAGGTCAGAGTTTTATGAACATTTGAGTAAAGCAGAAACTCTAACTATATTTCCAGAAATTATGACGGTTCGGCCGTTTGTAGCAGTCATGATTGGAGTCAGACTGAGGAGTCTGGTTCTGACCCAGTGGGCTTCCCGTAGGCGTTTACAGTCTGATGCGTCTGTTGCTCAGACCAAGAGTCTCATCGGCTTCGTGTCGCTGCTCTGAACCCGTCCTCAGATGGACGGGCCGATGTGGACATCTGGTGCTGGAGCATCAGAGAGGACGATCTGCAGTGGAGCCATTTGTTTGGAAACCGGCTCTTAAAGCCGGCGGGGTCCGGTCACTGAGCCGGTCCGGTCACTGAGCCGGTCCGGTCACTGAGCCGTGCAGCTGCTGCATCCAACTCGCCAGGGCTCCATCAGGCTTTATGACTTGTCACAACATTTGACCTTTTGACCCTTGTATTGTCCAGTCCAAGGATTGTCCAGCTGTTGCTCATTTTGTCTGATCACCCGGTGGACATGACCCACAATGCACTGCAGTAAACAACTCACTGACAGGAAGTTGGATTAAATATCATACACAGATCAAGAGAAATATCACTTTGGTACAATAAAATGTCAGTGATGTTCATTTACTGTTTTTAACGTAACAGCAAAAATATTTGACATGTTTATATTTTTGTTCAGTGCAGTTTTTGATTATTTGGATTTTTATTTCCGTTTTCTCTGAAGACAAAACTACGAGCATCGACTGACCAGCCTGGGCTCTTAACCGGTCTGGTGCTAGTCAGTTGTTAGCGTGTCCAAAGCTAATGTTAGCTGGTCCTCTCTCTGGTATTAGCCTGTGCGTGTTGCTAGCCAGTCATGAAGCTTTTCTCCGTGTTGCTGCCGTCAGGAGGAGGAATCCAGGAATCCTGCCCAGTTTGGAGGATCTGCTCTTCTACACGGTCGCTGAAGGTCAAGAGAAGATTCCAGCGCACAAGTTCCTCACAGTGAGTTCCTGAATCAGAACTTCCTTCCTATGGTTCCCGTTAGCAGAGCCTTGTAACCGACCTTTGACCCTGTGAGCCAGGCACTGAAGGCCACCGGGCTTCGGACCGGACCCCCGCCTGAAGGAGTGCATGGAGATGCTGAAGGAGACGCTGAAGAAGACTCCGGACGGCGTGACGCTGGACCGCCACCTGTTCAAGAAGTAAGACCCGCCGGGCCCACCGGAACCGCGGGTTGTTCCACTCGGACCCGGTTCCATGGAAACAGCAGAAATGACGAGTTTCTGGCTGCGCCTCTTCACTGCACCAGTTTTTGCTCATCCAGTTTGTCAGACTGCAGAGTGGCTGAGCTGGTCGGCAAACTGCAGGTCCCCGGCGCCGCCGCCGCCGGTCTGAGCATGCTGTCTGGTTCTGTTCATCAGGTGTCCAGAGCAACATTGTCCTGCTCACTCAGGCCTTCCGCAAGAAGTTCGTCATCCCCGACTTCCAGTCCTTCACCTCCCATATTGACCAGCTTTATGAGAAAGCCAAAAACCTCTCTGAAGGGCAGGTGTGTCCCTACGGCCGTCAGGTTGTGGGGTGTTTTTGCTTTTTCATGTTTGTTTATTTTCTGCATTCGGATTCATAATCATAGTCGGCCTGGTCTGGGTTTGCTGCTCTCTGCTGGGATTGAAACAGGAGAAATTTGCCCTTCAGACGTGTCAGAGTATCAGAGAGCTGCTGCTGCAGCACGTCCCGGTGGCTGCAGCAGCAGCTCTTCTACAAGACGAAAATTTATAACTATTTTAAAAAAATGAATTAATTGAAAACTAAAAATAAAATTAAAACAAGAACTGGACTGAGGTTAGCTGCTGTGCTGGATGAAAGACTTCTGGGACAATGTCTTCTGGCCAGAGGACCCCAGAGACGGCACATCAGCACTGTGGTGAGGAATGATGGCGTAGTCAAAGTCCAGACTCGTCCTGATTGAAAAGCTGTAGTGGAACCTTCAGGAAACATTGGAAACAGGAGATTCATGGGGTGTACCTAGATTTTCAGGTCAGCAGCTGGTTTTGGTCGTCTCTGGGCGGATTTGTCCGTTTCTCCTCTGCAGAAGCAGATTGGACGGGTTGTTGTTGTCCGAGGCGCTCCACTGAACCTGAGCGCTGAAAGGCGATGCCTTCCTTTCTCACTCCGGCCTCGCCTCTTTTTCCAGGTAGCAGATTACATTCCTCAGCTCGCCAAGTTCAGCCCGGACCTATGGGCCGTCTCGCTCTGCACCGTCGATGGACAGAGGTGAGACTTCCAGCACCAACTCGATGTTTTCCACTGAAACGCCACATTTTACATGACAGTGTGGATCAACAGGGGTTTATGTCTTTAGATACACATTAGCATGAAACCAGCAACAACAAAATCATAAAATAAAAGGGAACCACATCGTTTGTTTGTTAATTGATAACTGAAGTGTTTAATGAGGTGCTGTACCGAGTTACACCACACGGTGGCGGTGCTACATCTTGCTCTGTTTTGAAGAACCAATAAAGAGTTTCCGTTTTAGCTTTAGGTTAATTTCTCGTTGAAGACGATCACTAACCTCGTGGATAAGATTTCAATCAAGGGTTTATGATATTTTTTGTTATTGTACTAACTAGTCTAATGTAGACCGTCTTTTCGGAGCGAAATAACGCTCCTCGTTTGTTAGTATTTCGGCGCTAGCATGCTAGTTGCCGCGCTAGCTTAGTAGCGGTAATTGTACCTGAACAATAGTTGGTATAAAAGCATAAAATAAAGCCTTTCAGTCAGAAATGAAAACGGTATGTGACCAAAATATCCATTATGTTAAACATAAAGTACTTTATTCAAAATGGCATTTTAGAGTGGCCTTCGTAGGACTTTGTAGCTTCATTTCCTGTCCTAGATCAGGAAACAAAATGTTAGTGTGTTGATTGTTCCTGGTCCAGTTTGCAGACTCTTCTGTCCTCAGGACATCATGTCCTCACGTTAGACCTCATGTCTTACGTTAGACCTCACGTCTGAAGGCGTTTATTTCTCTGAAATGGGGAAACTTGTTCAGCAGCAGCACTGATCAATGATTAATGGAGGTGTGAACCCGGAGCTGCTTCCTGATTGGCTCAGCGTATCTGCGAAAAAAACGACTCCATAAAGATAAAACTGCTTGTTATGAAGCTGTCTTATCGATCTATTTAAAGGATTCAGATTATTTGAGCTCCTGCTGCTTGTTGACCTTTATTGTGTTTTTTTGCTCAGGCACACGGGGCGACACTAAGGTCCCTTTCTGCCTGCAGTCCTGCGTGAAGCCTCTGAAGTACGCAGTGGCGGTTCATGACCACGGAACCGAGTATGTCCACAGCTTCATCGGCAAGGAGCCCAGCGGCCTGCGCTTCAACAAACTGTTCCTGAACGAAGACGGTGAGACTTTACCGGGTCAGAACCAGAACCGGCCCAGAACCAGAACCGGCCCTGCATCCAGAATGTCGCTGATCTAGAGTCGGTCTGACAGACAGTACAGCTCCACATGTTTAACAGTAAAATATAAGAATCATGCACAAATATAAAATAATTGACAATACAAATGAAAAAACATCATTGCAAATAAAATATGATGGGGCAAAATGAACATATGTAGTATCCGTCCTGGGGTCGGACTGTAGTGATAGATGACAGAATGAAAAAATCATAGTTTATATAAAAAGTATTAGTGATACAAATCAAAATAATAAAACGATAATGATGAAATAAAAATACAACACAAATATGCAATGCGAATAATGATGATGAAAATATAAAATGACTAGTGAACTAGGACATAATTAAAACTAAATGCATAATAAAGTGTATTAATTTAACCTGGCTCGTTTGGCTTTTAAAACTGTAGAAAGGTTTTGCGTTACAAGTTTCTGTTTTAAACGAATCCCTTCCTTCCTTCCTGCCTGTGCCGCGTCGGGTCTGTTTGTTCTGCGCTTGTTGCTGAGTTTCTGTGAGCTCCTGCTGTGACGGCGGCTAACTGAGCTCCTGTTGTTTTGGCAGATAAGCCTCACAACCCCATGGTGAACGCCGGAGCCATCGTTTGCACGTCGCTCATTCAGGTAAAAGCAGAATCGATCTGTGAAGGGTGGGATCTCTGAGCCGCTACTCCAGATTTAAAATGATGAATAGCAGGAATGTCTGTTGCTGACTGTTCAGGTAAAACAACCCTGAGAAAATCTCCTGATTTAACCACTTTAGATGATTTGTGCTGCTTTTCTCCTGCTGAGTTTTGATATTTTCTGACTCGCAGCGTTTCTCAGCCTTCCAGAATATAAATAAACCAACGACACTCGGATGCTCCTCTGGGCTTTTAGAGACCTCAGCTGCTGTTGGCATCTGAAAATAACCAAAGTCTCTGCAGCAGACTGTTGGTGTCCCTGAAGGAGACACAAACCTGGAATAATGCTGCATTAAAAAGGCAAACATGGAGCTGCTGAATAAAATCAAATAGCACTGAAATAATCTTGAAGCTGCTCATAGAAGCAGGAGGCGTGTAAGCAGCTCCTCCTCTGCTTGTCGGGTCAGACAGGTTCCAGTGATTTATGAGGCGTCAGGTTTTCCTCCTGCGCTCCACACCTGGTGAGCTGGTTTCACCGAGAAGGTCAGATCCCGACTCAGAGGCTGCATTTCAGAACCAACTGATCAAACACAAATGGATTATTCTGGGCATCTAAATAACCAAACTCCCAGCAACATCAACGATTGACTCGTGAAAACAAAGTGAGCCCAGTCCTCCTATTAACATGATAATGCTAACGGCAGCATCACTGGAAAGCAGTAGACTGCAGGCTAGCTAACCAGACTCTTTGCACAGGAATTCCTGTATAAAGTTACATTTAATTAATAATAATATACCTGCAATAATCAATAGTTCAGTGTATTTAAGCAGCAGATGGACTGATTGTTTCTCTTCTAAGTCAAATAACTTAGATCATATCTTGCAGCTTTAATGCTGCTGTGTAATGTTTTAGGCTTCTGAACAGTGGTGGGCACCGCTAACTGAGAAGCTAGTTGTGCTAACCTTAAAGAGCTAGTCATAAAAATGAGTTCCACTAATGCACAGACGCAGTATTAGCCAAAGCTAATGCTAGAGTAATAGAACCCAACATATAACAAGAGCTATAATATAATTATGACTATAATGGCCTTAAATATTGTTTTTTTTTGCATTTTATTTTCTTGCTTTAAATAAATTATTAGAGAATAAAAACTGAGGAAATGAAACTGCAGTGCAAATGATCTTCATGCTCTTCAAAATAAGAGCATGATTAATGATTAGATAACCTAAACTTAAACTTGATTCAACTGGATGTTTATAAAATAGCCAAGTAAATTTATCTGAAAAAATGCTAAAGCGCTAAGCTAAAAATTAGCTCTGCTATTAGCATGTTAGCAGACGGGTGCCCAGCATTGCTTCTGAAGCGTACGCACTGCAGCTGAATTGTGCAGCCCCTGAACCGGGCCCTCCCACCTGTTTCTAAAAGTATTTCTGAATCTGCGGCAAAGTAAAACCAGCCAGTAATGTTGATTAAAATGTTTGTTTGCTTTTGTTTCTAAGTTGTGAAGCGAAGCTGATGTTTAGCCTGTAGCTGGCTGGATTTCCGCCGGTGGGTGACGGCGGGGCCGCCGCCCGCCTCGGCCCTACTGTGTTACTGCTGCTTCAAGGCTACATGTTGTTGTTTTGTGTGTATGTTGCATATTTTCCAGACGTAGGAACTGTGGGAAATAATGACTGCTGCTGCAGGTCAAATGACGTTGGTAATTTTTTCTTCCTTTTCCATATCTATCCTCTGACCCCCCCACTCTCCCTCCTTTCTCTCTGTCCTCTCCTCCAATCAGCCGTTAGCCATGTAGTGACTGTTAACACCTCCATCTGTGACAGCGTGCAGACAGCCCGATCAGACTGATCAGATCAGTCCGCTGAGTGCAGCTCGCTCAGTTTTAACTCTTCACATGTGCATGTGTGCAGATTGTTGTTGCTGTGTTTTCCTGAGGCAGTGAGGGCCATTCCTCCCTCTTTCCATCCTCCCTCCATCTGTTTGGGCTGACAACCTCTTCAGCGCATCCACACCTGCATTATCGTAACAAATAATGCAGAAACCCAGCTGTCACCTGCACACCATGCACACACACACACACACACACACACACACACACACCACACACACACACACACACACACACACACACACTGCCAATCTGGTTGTTCTAGATTAGCTAATCTACTAAAATCTCCTCCAGCTGCAGGCAGACTTTTCTCTCCTTAAATTCAGAAACAATCATAATGATAATGTCACTTTATAGAGGCAAAGGTTTTTATTTGTGATAAAATAATTTCTAATTCTGTAGCTTTAACCTGTCAGCAGTTAGTGTCCTCTGCTGCCCCCTGCTGGAGGACTTCCTCTCACTGTCTTTTTCTTCTGTTTTCTCTGCAGCAAACTGCCAGCAACGCAGAGAAATTTGACTATGTGAGTAATAGGATCCTAAATGTTCGCTGCATCCAGTCAGCAGCCGATCAGCCGATCAGCAGCCGATCAGCAGCCGATCAGCAGCCGATCAGCAGCTCTGCTTCTCTTCCAGGTCATGAACTTTCTGAAACAGATGGCAGGAAACGAGTACGTCGGGTTCAGCAACGCTACGTGAGTCTCTGCGTTTAATCAACACGCAATAATATTTCTCACCAGCAGACATCTGAAATATTGAAAATTATGAGGAAGCTGAAGCCAGATTGCTAATCCAGATTATCTCAGTGAAAATCCTGGATGGTTTTTAAAAATATCTCAGCAGAGGGAGAAATCGGACATCAGAGTGTAGTCAGGGTTCAACATTTCATTTACAGGAATAAGTTTGTCCTTTTTGTAAATTTACAGCAACTTTTCCAGCCTCTGAGCCACTGAGCTGAGCGCCTGTCAACACGGCGTCACAAGTCGGGTTTTAACTTATCGGACCGAAATCCATCTTAATGAAAGTCATGTTTTATTTTTCTACCCTGCTGAGAAAATCAGCTTTGGCTCCAAATAACAAAGATTTTAGTTTTCAATTATTCGATTAAAAAATTGGTACATTTTTAGCAAATGTCTATTTCTGAGTTAGATGCCAAGAATAATCAATTACAAAATTAATTGATGATATTTTTACTGTTGCGAACTGATCGATTCTCCTCCAGAGTTTCTTGCTGCTTTCTCAATCATTTTTAGTCCAGAACCCGAATAATTCCAGGTTTAATTAATTTATGTCAATTTGAACTTTGACCTGTGAATCACTGAGGTGTAAAAATACGAACGGCATCATTTCTGAATGTATTTCATGTTGTGAGGATGAAGCGTCGTCAGGAAAGACTTTGATTTGCAGTTTTCCTGTTTTGTTTTTTTTATTTTAATTTTATTTCTGCTCGTTTTGACATTTTTCAGTGAAGTTTTTAATCTTATTTTAAATTCTTCTGGTTTTCAACATCCGGCCGTTCTGTCATGTGGTTGAACTGGTTATGTAAAGATGGCGGCTGCCTGCATGCTGGGAGTGTTTCTGGTAAACATCATCGTCATGTGATGATGATGATGATGATGAACGCCTCCAGGCTTCCTGTAACGCGGCTCTCTGCCCTCTGACAGATTCCAGTCGGAGCGCGAGTCTGGAGACAGAAACTTCGCCATCGGATATTACCTGAAGGAGAAGAAGGTCGGCCATCTGCTAATACCAGGAAGTTTTATTAAACTGGAAACATGAAAAGCTGCACAATATGTTAGCATTTCTCCGTGTGCGACGCGGTTCTAACCTACGCTTGGTGAACGTAATGGACTGTCTGATCGATATCCACGAATGTTTTACGTCTCACAAGTAATTAGTTTAAATCCAACTGGTTTCTGAAAACGTTGTGATTTAAAAACGACGTATCAGATAAAAACTGTCCAAATTCTTCTGTTTTAAAGATTAAAATGAAGAAATAAATTTTATATTCAGAAAATAATAAATTCAACACCCTTTCCGAATAAAGTATTTGTAAAATAAAGCTGGTTTATAAACAGGAGGTCTCACTTTGACATTAAGCATCATCAGGCTGCATGATGCATTTCTGATCAAAACGACTTTG